CCCCAAAACCCCAAAACCCCAAAACCCCAAGAATCAAGGATAAGATATAGCAGAGTAATGTTTAAAATAATCTATGAGTATATTAAGATATAGAGTGTTTAGATGAATTGCTTTGCTGTTTATGATTAACACGCCAAAAAGCTAAAACTCAGTGCTCACAGGCATTCTAGAGTTATTGAGCAAAACTATCACCGAGTGGATCATTAGAAGGTAGGTTTTCGCAAGCCTCAACCATTAAATGAACGTATTTAAGAGCATACTCTCTCAATACTCCGCAGGCACTTTCATAGGCTCTCACAAGCTTTCTTAAGCAATCAAAGTTTCTTGGGAGTGTTCCAGTTGGGCCATCATCACCTTAAGTCAATCTTTTAGAAACTCCAACTAGCATAGGATTGAATTGCTTGAAGACATGATCAGTTCTCATTCTATCAGAGATATCACTACCGAGGTCTAGTGAAATCTTAGGGCCACCTTCAAGCTACAAAACTGTGTACAAGTGATGGAGATGCACATCATGAGCAGAAATTGTAGATATGAACTATTTTTAGATCTGCTCATCAGTAGGATATTATATAGATGAGGTTTTCAGAGTTCTCTTGAAAGTTCTAAAGTTCACTTGCTCAAGGAAGCTAAGTGATTGCTCAGGAGCTGGTAGATCACTGACTCCAACAAAGTTACTAACAGGTTGGACTCCCACAACCTTGATTTAACCGTATTATTAAACATGAGAGGATCTAGCTTTGATAGCGTTATTTTTTACAATTTAAAATTGTTCGTCAAGCGATAATGCTTTAACATCAACTGACTCTAACTGCTCCATCCAAGAGACTGAGAAGACATCTCCAAGGCAAGTCTTCATGTGAATATCACCAACATAGTCTTGAGGATGGCAATAGGCAGCTCTAGAAGGTTCATGTGGGTTTGCAGCAGTCATGACGTAAATGTTCCATGATTCAGGGAGAATACCCTCGAAAAGTGATCCTGAATAACAAGCTTCCATATAGATAACTAGCTCTTTATACATCTTGGTTGTATACATTTCATAGAGAGTAGCATTGATAACATCTCCATATAATTTGTCATTCTCGATATCTGGGAAGTATATGAATCCTGGTGCACCGTGGTCAACGAAATAGACAAATACTTTACTGTTTTCATTAGACTTTAGGACTTTACCATTGCCTCCAACGATTCCTGAGGAGTTGCCTTTCAAAACATTGATGAAATTCTTAGAATTGCAAGCATCTCCTTCATAATCGATTTTGCAGCCATCATAGACATCGGTACCATTGGGTTTGTTGTATAGTTTTCCTGGAATGGGATTTTCCTTGGCATTAACTGCGTCGTTGTAGGACATTAAAATAATTTATTCCTCTGGGATACCATTATTTTTCATAATATGATAAGCATGGCAAACATCGGCAGAATGTCTATAATTTGTGAATCCTTTAGAGCCGGTCACTAGAACAGCCCAATGATCACTATCCTTGGTCATTGTTAAGCCAAGGAGAGCTGTACCTAAGAATAGGAGAGTTGAGGAAATTGTAGAGGATCTAAACATAAAATATTAATTAATATATCACTCAATTGCAAGTCTTTATAATGGATTGATTATAGTAAATATCTAATTTTCTTACTAAGGTTATGATTTTAAATTTATTTGAGATGCTTGTTTAGAAGTCTAAATTTGAGATTAAGGGGTTTTGGGGTTTTGGGGTTTTGGGGTTTTGGGG